TGAGTTCTATTTTGTCGCGGTGTTGAAGAAAAACCTCACATAACTGTAGCCATTTGAGTCAGGTGTTGCATTGAAAAGAACCATGTTGATTCGGTAGAAATGAAAATATTCATGTAGGTGGTCCATTGTACATACATCATTCAAGAATGATACCTAATATCAAAATCACATGAATTTACTTGCACGTAGAGCTTTGAATTTGGCCATGGATATGCTAGCGACGATTTTGTGTAATGGTAACATATTTATACTCAGTACTTCAAGTGTCAGTAGTAGTAGCAGCAGCAGTAGTGGTATTATTATTATTAGAAGTAGTAGAACTACTAGCAGTAGTAGTAGTAGTAGTAGCAATCATAATAATAGTAGTAATGGTAGCAGTAGTAGTAGTAGTAGTAGTAGTAGTAGTAGTAGTAGTAGTAATAGTAGTAGTCGTTGTCATCGTGTCATATCACCAGTATTTATAAAACGTCTTGATTATGAGCCCTAGTTCTCTCGCATGCAATCACTATAAAATAATCGAATCTTATTTTGAGGTGTAACCCCCCCCCCCTCTTGGCGGCAAATGCTACCGCTCCCCAAAACCTAACCTCTCCCCTTCCTATAAAACTGACAACGAAATCGTGTAATTATACCTCGTTAAATCATCGAATTGTTACGGACAATTGCGGTTGTGGTTAAGAGGATTCGCGTGCAACTGTAAATCCACAGCGTTTTTTTTCTCTTTCATTTTTCTTTATCTTCTTTTTCTTTTTAAAGGTTTATTGGGCCTATCCATGAACTGTGTATTTATGAAGGAGCCATATGAATTGTGCAGTCTACTGCGCAAGCCATCATTATGAGAAGGCTAATTTTCTAATTATCTATCAATTCCCAGTTGGTTTTCGAAAGCCGCCCGCTAATTTATTTTCCGTGCAGATTTTCCCCTTTTCTCGTTCCTGCTATAGCTCTTGAATACTTTAGAGGCTATTTATTTTTAATGGGGCTGTGGCCATTATCTAGTTCTTTCTAGGGTGTTCTGTCATTCCGCTTGATCATAAAAACGATATTCATATCCACCCATCTGCATCGCCATCTCCCAAGTCCTTTCACCCCTTCCTCTCCCTCGCTCCCCATCTAATGTATCTAGTAAATCTCTAGATATTATCAATAATACATTTTTATACATTTTCCTCTGCCAATCTCTTTCTGATACCCACTTACTAATAATTCTTCCTTCCCATCTCCCTACCCTTTCTTCCCTCCATCTCACTGTTTCTGTCTCTGTGTGAGCATGCGCGTGTAATTCTCTCTCTCTCTCTCTCTCCTTCAACTTCTCTCTCTTTCTCTTTCATATACCCCTCTCTCTCTCTCTCTCTCTCTTTCATACCTTCTCTCTCTCTCTCTCTCTCTCTCTCTCTCTCTATCTCTCTCTCTCTCCTACTTTCTCTCACACTTCCTCTCATTCTCGCTTGTTCGGTCTTTATCGAAATAAAAATTTTCCCAACCTGGCTCCTTGAAAGAAAAGAAAAAACATAGTCTGAAATACAAGCATGCCACATAAACCTGGTTTACACATCGCCCCTCGTAATCAAATCATGACACAGGAGTTTGTTACTGGTTAGAAGTCAAGGCAAGAATGTGAGATTGACAAGATCCATCGCATATTTAATTCATAAAAGGACTAAAATTCACCTTGAGTGATGGCACGCTATGGTTGATCTTTTTCCCCACGAATGGCGACAATGTCTTTTGTCGAATGTCTCATTTCATGTATAAACATTATTTCAGAACTTTAAAGGTACCCCTTAGGAGAAAAAAGGTGTCGGCATAGATCCCCTCCCACATGCTTTGGGTTGTTTATGTTTCGTTATTGCAAGAGAGCGAGAGAGAGAGAGAGAGAGAGAGAAAGAGAGAGAAGTGAAAAAGGGGGAGGGGGTAAACGTAGATAAAATACTGCTCACGGTTTACCGATATGATCTTAATATTGGATGTTATGATGTCAAAACATGATACAGATACATAAGTAAACATGAACAACAAACCAACGTAAATAAACGTAAAAGGAATGTAAAGAGAGAAAAGGACTGTAAAGAATTTAAAACAAAAAAAAATCAAAATATGTAAACCTGCAATATTTCGCTACGTCATGAGCTGATGAACGAGTGTTGTAACCCTGTTGTGAGAACGGTATATATTCTGTGTTGCACCGTGTTTAAATGCAAATCAACCATATAATATCATTTCGTCGGAAACCAGACTGCTTAAAATTAATCATAAAGCAATATTTTGCTTTGTTTCAACCTGCGCAGACTATTCTTAAAATCTTCAACAAATTTTGTCTGTAAAGTTATTGAAATACTGTATTAACTCTGCTCTACTTCATTAAATACATATCTTGCGTATTAGTAAAGTTAATCTAAAAAAATATAATGCTTATCTGTTCCACGTTTTTGTTTTGGCCCCTCACCTGCATAATATATGGCATACCACCACATGAGATAATAGTACACCATATTCGATTACTAAAATGTACGTATAATACTTTCACACGTATTACACAGCTTATTTTATTTCTTATTGTTGAATACAGAAATTTCCACATTTTCTTGAATGCAATAAAAATCTGTAGAATACGATATTTTAGCCTATAATTTTGGCAGAGAGAGAGAGAGAGAGTGGTAAGGAAAGAGGAAAATTCTCACAAAGGTACCTCCTCAAACATGTGCTACCCATATGGGGAAAAAAAATCAGTATATGACCTAGTTTTCCAAGGTATATATTACCAAATATGCTCCTAATTTACTTAGAAAATCATATTTACATCATTACATGCATGTATTTATGCATTGTGCGCTTGTTACATGTATTTTCGCCTCCTCCTCCTCCTCAAAACTGTTCATACTTGCTTCCGTCTCGACCCCCCTAAAATTGAGAGATGTTTTTTCTAAATATACCCCTTCATCACAATATAACATGAAAGGTGTCTGTGGTATACACCCCAAACATGAATATTTTCAACATAGCATTCTTATTTTGTCCATAGGTGCGTCCATATTTTCGAAAATTCAATTTGCATTTGGTGGAATCGAAATTCGGCTCTTAGACTTGTACACGGCAAAGCGATCCTATAATCTTTGAACACCAAGCAACGTCCACAATTTCAGTTCATTTTGTTAGGTGGATTAGCTGGAACTTCCTTATATATTCCCTCAAATTATCTCTGCACGTCTCTTTTTTCTAGAGACTTCTTATCCTTCAAAATATCTGTTTCCGTCTTCACCTATCAAGTAAATATATTGTTAGTTTAACATTTCCATTACAAATATTTTCCTCAAAAATTCTTCAAAAGGAAATGGGAAACTGCTACTTAATCCTATTAGAACATTGCTACTTAATCCTATTAGAACATGGAATGAGCTTAAAAGCTATTTTATATATATGTTTCTATCCAAAATAATTGTTAAGACAATAAGAAACTTTAACGATATTGAGCTTCTATTACAAACATGCATATATAATCTTTATGTAAAAAGTAAAATAAGATTCCAACAATCATTTAAAATAAATCTGTTCACAATTATATTTTTGCTTTACTCTTCTAAAAATGTTTTTAACCATTAGGACTAATTAGTCTTTAAGTATTATTGTATATTATCATATACTATAAAATTCAACCATTAAACCCATACAAATATTTTCCTTTCAACTAATCTTCTTATGTCACAATTAAAATGCTGTTATAGAGTTCGTGTTAAAACTAATGGCTATACCATATCTCCACTTCGGGACTACATGGGCTATCCAACTTGAGAATAAAATAATTGGCAAAATCATTCAACATCGTCGCTAATATCATGTTCATGTATGTGTGGAAGAGAAACATGTATCAACTATTTAGTATAATATTCAGGGTTTATACAATCCTGTAAATATAGTTTTAAGGGCGTTTGCCAGAAAAGCATGATGAAAAGCTATCGGACTTGAAAATAAACAACACCTACAAAATGTGTGAAATTGCACAAATCACTGAAAATATATTTCGCAAAAATGTTACTTCTCCTCAATCGCTTCCAGTACGATAATTGTAGGCTATATAGCATCGTTTATACATTTATGTTATTGGAAAAAGATTTATCTAGATATTTGTCAGAGGCAATGCCAGGATCTCGAAGAGAAAACTATTGAATCAGATATATTATGTTACACAAAGAACTGACTGACATGCGAGAGAAAATAATGTTTTTTAATGGAAAATTCCAATTCCTTCTACTTTCTCACTCTGATTAATTTTACGCTGAAAAATGGCGGCTGTGCCATGTAGTCAACCGCTCGAGTTTTCATTGATTTGTTGATCAAGATGTAAACCTGTACATCATGTACAATTTACGTAGTCACCATGTCACATACGATCTTGCACGCAGAACATAACCTTATTTGCAATGTGATTTGTAGTCGAGAGATTCGACACTATAGATAGCACTATACGGTAATATTTGTGGATAATTCTATAGATAATGGAACATTGTAATGTTGGGGTAATGTTCTTTTAATGATAATATCTCTTTGATTCTACAAATGACAGGGATGACACAGTCAATGACTAACTCAAATGTATCAGACTATTAGACCCAACATATTGTAAGCTATGTGAATAAGGGAAATAAAAGAAAGCTACACGTAAAGTTATGTATGACTCCGTACATTGAAACTTCAGTTAAACAAAGTCCTATCAAAATTATTCCACCATATTTTATCCTGTAATAATATATCCTATCTATTTCTCCCTGCTTCATATTTTCGTGATCACGAACCCAGGCAGTTATAGGGATAATTGCCATGATACAGGGGTTGGATTCGGGGAGACTCAAGGCGAAATCAGCATTATTATAGTTTAAAAAGAGGAAGCGACAAGAGAAGGGCATAGTGCATACAGACCTATATAAAGAAGCTTCAAAGACAAACAAATACAAAGACAGACTGCATGTTTTTCGAAAATTAATGAGCCTATAAGTATAACTTACCAAATGGTGCACACAATAAATTTCCAGTGGTGGTTGTTTCCTATAACCGCGATATCTCTTGCAGTCGAAATATTCTTATTAAATGCCGGGATTAAAAGTCGTCTGCAAAGAAAACCTTCTGCGTTTTATCAACAAGAACGGGGCTGCTGGTAGTCCATTAACTTCCTTTTCAATAAAAATGACAAATGATGGTATCATAAAGGAGGAGAAATCCAAAGAACAGATTGTTAATTGACCCGGTTCTATTCGAAATCAAAACAGTTGCAGGTCTTCCATGGACTACAGTCCGCCTGAACCGTCCGCGGCCAACGAGCGCTTTTGGTATACTGACAATTTTCGCGGAGCGCCGATAATGCTCAGCACGTCAGCTTATATTGTCTGCCGCCTCCGGTACTTGTCCCACGCCTTGCGTTCCGTGTAGGGTAAGATCAGACAGAGCAGGGTAGGGATTATCCACGGGGAGGGGTGACGTTAAGAAAATCGGAACCTATATGGTTATTGATCGGATAGAGAGATTTAGGGTGGGAAAAACAAGACCGGATGAAACGCTCAATAGCTTCGGACATCGATCGAAATCTGGAATGCGGTAAACAACTTCCACAACTATTTTCTTGAATACCTGTAATGATTTTTGTTTTACTTGAAGGACAGCTTACCCCAGCATACACGGGATTTTTAATTTTAAAGTTTGAAATTCGATGCCCATTTCATCCTTATCCTCCTTCTTTTTCTTCATCTTGTTTTTGTTTCTCTTTTTGTTGTTGTTGTTGTTCTTTCTCCCCTTCTTCTTCTTCTTCTTCTTCTTCTTCTTCTTCTTCTGTTTTCTTCTTTAAAACAAAATTAAGGTCGTTGCTTTAAATGATATATCTTGCAAAGTGGACATATCAGTATCTTCGTTACGTAATTTATTTTCTAAAATTTGATATTTTGTTTTGTACTACTCCTGAAATTTGGCGAATCAAAAGATTCGAGTAGGGGGGGGGGGTGTGATTGGTAAGTGAGTGTCGGGGTAAAAACAGAAAGTCTTGAATGCATTTGCAGTGACGAGAAAAAAGCTGTTTAAAAATGCATCACAAATGAAAAGTGATAAAATAGGGCTTTTTCAGGATCCCGGGGAAGCTTGCAAAATACAGTTTTATGAACATTAATTAAAGTAATCCGTATACAGCATACTTTTTGTCAAATTTATTTTGCCACAACTTGCACAATTAGATTGATGCAAGCTTACGTTACTGTTCGTTTTGATCGATTATTTGGACAATTTAAAAAAAAAGTTCCCGATAACTTTCACATATTTTAGTATGATTGATAAACTTGCTTTGATATTTGAATATTCTCTATACACATGATACTCGTAGATGAAATCAGATATCCAATGAAAATGTAGGCCACTATTAAAATGACCAATTACCTCTAGCCAACAGTTTCTTGGCTTGACTGGCACTTGTCAATCAAAAGGCATTGTTTGAAGCTTAAACCTATTAATCCGTTTAATCTGTAGAAGATTAACTAAGTCAATTAAGAGTGATCATTATTATAGAATAGAACAGAACTTGAGCAACTATCTCTGTGACGTAATATTTTTGTAGTGACAGATTGTCGATGAAAAAAGAAAGAAAGTTCAGCTTGAGTTCTGGAAACAAAAGTTACACTGAATGTTCAAATGACAAATATATGACATGTCACATGTACCAAACAATCTTGGTAAAAAAATGTATGGGGGTTGAGCAATGAGCATAGAAAGATTGTTACGAGATTTAACCCATACAAGAAAGATGATTATACGTTTCAAGCGCTTTATCCACGTAACACAATTTGTAATTTTGCTTACTTACTTTCAAGTGTGGATTATTTTTTTCAAATGAAAATAGATTTACTTTCAATCATTTCGATTGTTCGATATTGTTCAAAGTCAAAGTGAGAAATCGTTCTTTCCAGAATATGTATTTTTAATAATAAAAAAAAATGGGTACCATAAAGGCTATGTTTGGTATGCAATCAGTACGCCCGATCATGTTCGGTTTATATACATTAATATAAATAAACAATTATATACCTTTTTTCCTGACTGTCCCTATACCACATCAACCCATATGTATGGTTCTCGCGCTTTTCAACGGTAGCGCCTGTCTTGTGGAACCAACTTCCTGATCAGCTCCGAGTTGTTGGTAGCCCTGACGGCTTTGGAAGAACCCTGGAAACGTATTTATTTTCGAGGGGGTTCCTAGAGCTGCTTTTTCCTTTTGCTGGTTAGGTTGTTTGGTTCGACATAATGGTTGTTTGTTTGTTGAATTTGTAATATATAATGTCAAATAGTTTTACTTTGGTGTAATTTTAAAGGTGAATTGGTTAACTTTCATATAATTATATTTTGTCATTTGCTCATCTACTTTGTTATTTTATTATGTTGTTTATATATTCAAATTTGTCATGATTATAAAGGGCATAGAGAAATTTTCAATTTATTATGCGCTCAATAAATATTCTCTATCATTAGTATAATTATTTCCTGCATGGTAGATCAATGTGTGGATAAACATCACATCGGTACAGAAAGAATTAACTAAATGGTAGAGCACACTATAGGTATCATTAATTTAATCAAATAATTGATTCATTGGTATCTCATTTTCCGTTTAAATATAATCATAACATAGTACTACATTATGTTCAAACATGTTATTTGTTTATTCATGTTTTGTAAACAACCAGTTTTCTCTCATCAAATGGTTCCTAGGTCCTAGTAATACGTAATAATGGATATCTTACACCGAAATATCATTTTAATATTTCTGTTAATTAGCTTTCGTGGAAAAGCCTAAAATAATGAATTAAAATTCAACCAAGGGTCTCATGACTATGCAAAAGTTAAACTGTGCGAGTCTTTGACTTGTTGTATGTTGTGCATGTTAAACAAGTTAGAGTTCTCGATACATTTTCCGTTGTATTCTATCTCGTACCACCCCCTTTCCTCTGCATTTTCTATCTCTTCGGTGAAGGCTTATAATCTCGACCCTTACTGCTCCAGGGAAAGGAAACCCCTGGTACAATACGAAAGATCAATACTTCATCATCAGCTCTTCATTGACGGGTATCACTGACAAAAGGTCCTTCGCAAGAGCTCATCCTATTGTAAGCATTGTCCGGCATCTTGTAATCAGCCTGCAAAACAAATCGCCTTACAACATGGACAAGATTGTCATCAATGGGGGATAGAAAACCACCGACGCGTCAATAGGTGGCATTATATAAATGTGAAGAGGCTTGGAATTTACGGTTAGGGCGGTGCGTATGTGTGTGTGTGTGTGTGTGGGGGGGGGGGGGGGGTGGGGAGGGGGGCTGGGAGATTGAGAGGTGAGGGGTGGAGAATTAGTAGGAAAGGGTTTATGAGTCGCCAGACTATTTTAAAGTTTTTTATGATCGGGAGGGCGCTGTTTTCGTTAAATCAAAATTAAAACAGAAATTAAAAATGTTTAGATTTTTACGAATTGTCGAGAGAGGTGCTGACATCATTCATTAAAGCCCGTCTGTACCAGTTTGGTCAGGAGGATCTGACCTCCCTGCAAGGTCAGTGACAGGTGGTTATCTCATCAAATCAGCTCTCAATTAACATAAGAACAAAGGGGTCATGGGGGGATCATGGGGACCAACAGGCACAGATTGGGCATTGTTTGCTGTATAGAGGGCGCAAGTAGATATAAGTAGTGTAGTGGGGCTTAAACAGGAGAGACTGAACCCACTACTTTGAATGGAAGGGGAGGAGGGGGGGGGGGGGGGGGCTGATATTTTATATTTCTACACAATCCTCAAACCATATAAATGATCTTTTTTTTAAAACCAGAAACAAATGATTCTCTTCTTGAGAAAACATGCCCCTAAAATTATTTATCAAAAAACTGTTAAATGGTATCACTTCGGTCAAAGGAAATCAACAAAATATAGGTTGAGCTTCGCTCTCATGGAAAAGAAAAGAAAAATTAATACAGCGTCTTTTTAAACCAAACGTACATCACACGCTCATATCATGGAGACGAGGTAAATTAATCAAGATTTCCTCTAGTCCCAACCCACCGAAGATGGCAGCATTCACAACAGTTGAAAAGAAAAATTAATTCCATTTAAAATAAACACGTTGTCAAGATAGATTTCTTCGAAAAGAACAGAGGCTTGACTGTATCCCAGTCACGCCAATCTAACTGCCAATTTGAGATTCGCCTAGAGTTAGTGTTCTCATATTTTTTTTTAATTCGTATCTTTCTTATTTTTGGTCAGATTTATTTGAAACTGTCGCAATTGTGTTTACCTTCTTTCTCTTCTTTCATACAAAATGAACTAAGTAAAGTCAAACCTGCTTTGGCGACCACCTGTCTACAAAGACCACACTTTGTGTGTTTCTCTTGAAAATGGTTTCTCATTGAAACATGTACTAAAGGGACTTGTCTTCAAAGACCCTCTTTTTGTGTTTCCCTTGGGCGGTCGCTATAGACAGGTTTGACTGTATAAGGAATGGATTGCCCTGTAGGCATGTCCAGTACGGGATAGGCGAGTGAGATTTTCTCTTCATCTCTCCCTTTTACTCTCGCTTTCTTTCCCTCTGTCTGTCTGTCTGTCTCTGTCTTTCTCTCTCTCTCTCTCTTATGAACCATCATTCTTTCTATCTTCCTTTTCTATCCATCCTCCCTCTTAATCAATTTCCTCTTCTATCGTTAATAGAGCCCCCCTCACTTTCCAAGACCATCTTATTTTGTGCTTGTTAATGTTACATTCCTCACTTCGTACACCACACAAGGGCAAGGAGAAGAGTACACGTTTTAATGTGATATATTACATCTTTATTTTACCACATTTAAAGTGAAACGAACTTTAATTCTTTACATATCTTTCAAATTTGTTTACATCCACTGTCTTTTATTTTTTATAAAAAAAAGTAAACGTATTGAATTTAAAACGAGAAAACAAAATATGACTGTGGGAAAACTGGAAGACCAGTTTATATTATATCCTGTTAAACTTCAAACTAAACGAATTGTTCGAGCGAAGCTGTAGAAGTATCAGTCTCATCCCTTCTTTCAGAACAACATTTTGAAGCAATGTCAAGAAAGGCTTTTGTCGAATGAACTCTGCGTTGAGGGCGCTCTACATAACACTTCCGTTCGGTAATTCCTCAAAGTATGGAAGGAAGAAGAAAAAAAAAAACGCCGAGGCAAAACTTTTCAAGTCTATAACAACAAAGAAAATAGTAAGTTCAGTCTGAGCTCAAGTTATGCCAACGCGTCTGCCTCTTGAAGCATACGGGGTCTGTTGAACCTGGGGTTTGGGTTATTCGGGTTGTTCGGGTTGTTCGGGTTCGGGTTATTCGGGTTATTCGGTTGCTGGCCACCCATGCCTGGTTGTCGCCCACCCACACCTGGTTGATTACCAAAGCCTGGTTGTCGCCCTCCCATACCTGGTTGTCGCCCGCCCACTCCTGGTTGTCCACCCATACCTGGTTGTTGTCCACCCATGCCTGGTTGTCGTCCACCCACACCTGGCTGATTACCAAAGCCTGGTTGTCGTCCACCCACACCTGGTTGTCGCCCGCCCACTCCTGGTTGTCCACCCATGCCTGGTTGTCGCCCACCCACACCGGGTTGATTACCCCAGCCTGGTTGTTGTCCACCCATGCCTGGTTGTTGTCCACCCATGCCGGGTTGATTACCAAAGCCTGGTTGTCGCCCGCCCACTCCTGGTTGTCCACCCATGCCTGGTTGTCGTCCACCCACACCGGGTTGATTACCCCAGCCTGGTTGTTGTCCACCCATGCCTGGTTGTCGCCCACCCACACCGGGTTGATTACCCCAGCCTGGTTGTCGCCCTCCCATTCCTGGTTGATTACCAAAGCCTGGTTGTCGCCCACCCATTCCTGGTTGATTACCAAAGCCTGGTTGTCGCCCACCCATGCCTGGTTGTTGATTACCAAAGCCGCCTTGTCCCATGCCCGGTTGTTGGCCGATAGGGATGTTCCTGCCTGCAGGTACCTCACAAACGAAAGCGCGCATGGCGGTGACCTCTACCGCTTCCCACTGTGGTCCCACACCCTGAGGGATCTGCCGTCCTCCTTGTCCAGGTCGGACAGGTGGGTTCTGACGCTTCATGACTGGAGCTCTTCCTGGTGGTCCTGACATGGGGTTCTGAGGGTTGACGGGCCAGCTACGAGTTGGGGGCATACCGGGACGTGGAGGAGACGCCGGACTGCTGGAGAAAGCGGCGAATCCGTTAGGATAAGCTGGGGTGCCATCTTCCCAAAAGAATGGGCTCTGACTGTTCCATCCGAGCCAAACCTCATTCTCCATCTGGTTGTCCTGTGAGAAGCCGGCCACCAATTGGTAGATTTCCATGTTCTCCTGAGGCGACGAAACTGAAGCCAGAGCACCCATTTTTGCTGGTCCATTTCCACAAGGTGTAACCATTTCACAGAATTCGGAGGCCATCCTGTAGGGAACGCGCATGTTGAAGTATCTGAATAAAAAGAAATCAAATGCGGACGTAAAAGATTTAGTATTGCAACATGTAAAGTTTTTCAAAAAAAGCGAAGAAATTAATGAATTAATATAATCAATTTTCAATTGCTTTCACGCTCCATTAAAAATGGTTGTAAAAGAAAATCTTGTTTTGCTATACTCTCTCCTCTTTCATTCTTTAAGAAAGTGTTGCATATTCAACGCCATGTTCCTGTTTAATTCTTCCAATGTCACGGCAGACCTAAAAGTTTTACTTCCCTTGACGAAATAAATCGTCACCACCACCATTAGACGTGGATTCTGTTTTGTGGGTCGCAATATCTTTCTTCGACTAAGTCATCTTTGGAATATGAAGCTAGCAGCTTTTATATTTTATGTCAATTCTTGCTCTTTAAAATACAATTAACAAAGTGTTATGGAGTCATCGTCTTTTGCCTAAACATTAATTAATTCATTGATCGATTGTTAACAACAACACTCATCGCCCCAAACATAAACAAAAGACAAACAAACAAATTAATGTGAGTACAGCGAATCTGTCGCTCTTGACGAAGTAATGAATGAGCTCGCATATCTGCATGTGACCGGATTTGCTGCAAACCGGACTTGGTGCTCTCAGGCGCGTTCCACACGAGACGACATTTTGATTACGCTATTACCTGCGCCAATACATCAAGCATATGGAGGTAATTAGCGCATACGCCAGTAATGCGATGTAATGTTTGTATACACCTTTTGTACGACGTAACACTCATGTTACTTGTCAAAGACCGCGCTGGTCGTTGACGGAAGGTTACGCCATTGAAATGACGCAGTCTTACGCTATTTAAATGGCGCCTCGTGTGCAACGCAACTGAAATTAGTTTTCTCACGTGCCACACCGTCACGCCATTCCCGTCACCTATCAACACAACTCTAGCATACATGTACATACACTCACTCCTATTCTCTGACAAAAGGCCACTTGGGGATAAGAATCAATTTCTGTTTTTTTTTTCTTCTTCAAATCACAGAAAATATGTTGGCTTGAATTCTTTTTTTTCGGAGTTACGAACTAGTTTGTCATTAATGGTATCATGAACCTTGGGATAAACAAGTGCCTCCATGTCGTCTGTGGTTATACCCTTTCATATAACTCATTTAAATGGACGATCTATCCTCTTCCACACCATACTTATGTCAAAAACACATTACGGATGTCCTACGTATCAAAGTAAAATATATCGACTTTCGAAGACAACAAAGAAAAAAACAAATTGGACAACTGCAATATAAACAATACAATCTTTCTTTATTATTATTCTTATCATTATAATCAATCAGTTAAATGTTTATCAAGTATTTACACAACATCTTAACGGTTCTAGGGGTTCTCGATGTAACGAAGAAACACTTATCGATGCCGCAAGAGAGGAATTTGGGTCATGTTTTTAGTTGGCCTAGTTAAACCATGGTACTTTTGATTTGTATTAATTGAAAAAAAAATTGTTACATGATGGAATGCAGCTGACAGATAATTTTACAACAATTCCATGGCACTACCATGGTGCAAAGGACTTTTCAAAACACCTTCAATGGTTCTGGAGGTTACAAGGCATGTGTCTTAAGAGTTTAGCAGAATGTAAACAGTTTGAAATTGAGGGCGTGCCGGTTTGAATAAATGGTATCAAGGAATGAAGGTTTTGAAGTTGGCCAAAGTTGTTATGAAATTTCTAAATTACTCTAAAGACTATCAACATGTGGATGCTACACGCATTGGCACAGTTGATGCCCAGAATGCGGAAGTGCCATGTATTGGATAACCTCTGTTTTCTTTGAGTGATATCTCTCTAAAGTTATGATCTCTATGAATTTTCCCACTTTAGAGCTGGATTGGTCGTCGTAGCTGAAGAAGAGTCTATTGGAATAGACGTGGTTGGTTTGGTTGGTTGGGTCTGTTTGGAGTGTTGGGTGTGTTTGGCTGGTTTGGGTTATTTGGTTGGTTAGGAGTAAATGGTTGGTTGGGCCGGTTAGGGGTAGTTGGTTGGTTAGGAGCAAATGGCTGATTGGGCTGGTTTGGATTGTTCGGTTGATTGGGTCCAAACGGCTGGTTGGGGTTATTTGGTTGGTTAGGTCCAAAAGGCTGGTTCGGCTGGTTGGGAAAGTTCGGATTGGTCGGCTGCTGTTGCCCAACTATCGTCTGACCGGCTGGAACTTCACAGACGAAAGCATGTGTGGGTCCTGTCAGCTCGGCGACTTGCCACACCGGTCCTTGCGATGCTGGGATCATCCTGCGGTTTGGTCCTTGACGTCCAGGAATGGTGCCGAGCTCACGGCGCATGACAGGGGCAAAACCTGGCGGCATCCCGAAGGGGTTCCTGGTGTTCACAGGCCAGCCGTTAGCACCTGCTTGTCCGCCACTGTCAAAAGCTGAAAAGCCGTGAGGGTATGCTGGTGCTCCGTTTTCCCACATGAATGGATTCATGCTGTTCCATCCAAGCCAAACCTCTCGCTCCATCTGATTGTCCTGTGAGAAGCTGGCCACCAGGCGGTAGATTTCCATGTTCTCCTGAGGAGACTTTGGTGCTGCTAGCGTGCCCATGACTGCAGGACCATTGCCGCATGGGGTTACCATTTCACAGAACTCGCTCGCCCATTGGTATGCCAGTGGAATGTTGAAATATCTGCAGGTGGAAGACATAGGGTGAACAAACCATTATTCCTGAGACACAGAAGTGGTTACAATGTCTGATCACCACGATTCATCGGGGACTAGATTCACTTCACCCCTACCACTAACCGCATCGAATTGTAACATTATCTTTTTGAACCTAAGACCCCGACACTATTTTTTCAAATTGATGCTACCCTTCTGTTGGACACATGTAACAGATTTTTAAAAAAAAACCAAGCCGGAGAGGATATTACATTCTTTTTTTTCCTTATAAAGAGAATTGATGATGTTGAAACGTATTTTAATACCAATATGGCATAGAAGATAGTAAAACATTATAAGAAGATGTTCCTATTGGAAAAAGAGAAAGTGTCTGCAGTTTTACCACAGTCTCTTGAAAATAACACACTCTGGACACTGCTGGAGTCAAGTGATGTTTACCACACTGTGTCATGGTGTTTAAACAGTTTGAACGGAATATGGGCACAGTTTTGATTATAGTGAACGCTATAAAGTATTCTAAATTTTCCATGAGGTTACATTTCGATGCGTTCACACTTAGAATCAAATAATATTTACCACACTGTGTGAACATAATGTGACCACAGTTAAGATTATTTTCAACTCCTCAAACCTAATCTAAATAGTCCATGTGGTTACATTTCGATGCGTTCACATTTTGAGTCAAATTATGTTTACCACACTGTGTGAACAAAATGTGACTACAGCTTTGATTATTATCAACTTCTTAAAGTATTCTAAATTGTGTCTGTGGTTAAACTTGGATGTGTTCCGACTGTGAGTCAATTGATGTTTACCAAACTGTGTGAACACACTGTGACCACAGTTTTGATTATTGTCAACGCTATGAAGGATTCTAAATTGTTTCTTAGGTTACATTTTGATGCATTTAGACCATGATTCTGTCAATGGTCACGTGTTACCACACTGTGTCCACTAATGCCTACATTGTAAATAAAACTGGAACTTTTTCGATACTCCAGAACCCATACTCTGAGTGACATTGTTTGTTCTTCTTCCGACAAAGCTACTTTATCTTAAAGTTAGAATGTCATGCTTGTAATTTATATAAATATATGTCAGTTCATACTTTCATTTTCATTCATGCTTCAGATGTGAGCGGAAATATTTCATACTTTATTGTTAATTTGTTATTTTGCATTTAACTGTGTCAGTTTGTTAGGCGAATATCCAAGTGTTATTTTCTGAATATTAAGTTAAATTGAAATGGCAGAAAGGACCGGGAAATTAGAACGACAATAATGATGATGATAATAATAACAATGACAATAATAATAACAACAATCTATCATATATGTTTCTCGCATGAATATATATTTTATAGTAATTGTTAAATGCACATGATACTTTGATTTGCAATGAAATTTAAACATGTTAAAGGCGTTTAAATGACAGGATAATTATATTCTTATGATGGCATGGCAATTGTGAAAGGCGAATATGATGATATACATAACACAACACACATACACGAGACGAGATAATGAAGAACATTAAAACACATGACGAGTATGTAATCTTTCTGTAAAAAACATGAAGTATATTCATTACAAAATAATTGACAAATAAATATTTCATATACTAAATAACTTATCCTTTTACGAAAATAGGCCTTAGTATATTCATGGGCCCGGAGTTTTGTAACTACTCCACGACGCATAGGAATTTACAGAGTATTTCAAAGAAAAATAATCCAGGAACCGCCATTTGAGTTTTTTAATTTGATTATCAACCCAAATAAGACCAGATCTGAGACTTTTCTGTACATTATATTTAAAAAGATTCGACGAAAGGTTTACATTTACTTATCACAGCAATTGTATGCGAACGGTTCGTGAATTGGAAATCTATTTTGAATATAATCAAGTAGGCTACGTATGAAATTAGCTGAAGTAATCTGTACTCTACTTCATTTATAATAATTATAAAGCTCCTAATCGCAGCCGGGTAGTGCGCGTCAGCCGCCTAAAGATGAAACGTCATCAGGTAATGTCACCAGGTCACCGAGAGAGGGCGCGCGCCCATCTTAATGTCGGATGCGTAGTTAGAAACGCGATGTAAAAAAAATGCGGAGAAGCTACCCGCGGAAAACGGTGCCACCGATAACAGAAACAAAAACAAAATAATAAGAGATAAATAAGAAGTAGAAGAAAAAAAAACCACACACATATTAAACTGCCTTCGAAAGAGCTCAAAGAAGCACTGCTTTAATCAATGTTGAGAAAAAGAGCTACATGTTCTGCTGTAACAGGGTTTATTACAAATACTAGTATGTTATAACAAGAAAAGGTATGATATTTTTCATTTGTTCTCTTTTATATGCATTTATGATTAAAACAAAAAAATTAAGCTGAGAGCATAAAAAAAAAGGTAACATTGGGATTATGTTATGTCCCTTCAACGTTCCTTACACATATCGCAAATTAGCAGCATTGAGTGTTTAGATGAAAAAAGAACAGAATAATAAAGGAAAGGGAAAACAGGAAGTTTGTAAAGATTAACAAAAACAGTTTATAGGGGAAAAAGGGTGGGGGTAAGGTTACGATGTGCGGAGGGGGAAATGGGTTCCCCATCATATATACTAGGCAGATTGAAAAAAAAGGTGGGAGGAGGGGGGGGGGGGGGGGGGAGGGGGGGGGGGAGGGGGGGGGAGGTGGCATATCCAGCAGGTAAAATCTTGTATGTCTTACACAACTAGTGCTATTTGTAGTTTGTAGCGAGTAGATTGCATAATAAATGAGCTATTAGGAACAACTATCCCCGATCTTTATAACCAATCGGCCATGGAGTAATGTTTAAAGCACTCAAATAAAAAAGGCCGTCAGATATTTTCAGTCCCAGGTTTTGACGGCAGAGAATAGAGCTTTAGAATTCAGGGTCGCAAGGCGAATAAAATGTTTTAAAGAGTGCAATTTTTGTATGCGGAAAATAATATAGATATTTAAATTGAAAACGAATAACCCACGGTGAATTAAAGTTGAACTAGTTGTTTAAGGATTTATAGAAAGATAGATCATATTTGAACAAGAAGAAAACACAAACACACCAGACAACAGCGAAAACAAGACAACAAGACAAGACAAAGCATGAGACAGGTGATAAAAGAGTCGAACAAGAAGAAGAAAGAAATAATAGCTTACCTCTTTGAAAGTTGGCGACTGGCACAGGAAGACTATCCTTGCGCATGCGTGGAGGGGAACAGGAAGCCCCGCCCGCAAAGGGATTCGAGCCCAACCTCGCTGTGACGTCATAACGTAGAACTTTCCAGGTCTCCAGTTCTTTCTACTGCTTATATATATATAGTTTTGGATGGCACTAATTATCTCATTATCTTCGCCCTTTTAGGGTAATTATAGGATAGAAGTATCTTTGGTACTACTGGGGGGGGGGGGGGAAATAGGCAATTTTAGGCCCTCGAAACACAAATAATGATGTAAAGTGGGTGAACAACTCTATTATTTGTGGGGAAATAAATATTCCTAAAACTGGACAGAAACTGAAGAAACTGAACAAGAACACAAACCATACCACCATCAACAATTACATAAACAAAATAGGCATAAACGAGACAAAATTATCTTAAAACTTTCCTGTACCGACAATTAAAAAACAGAACCAACGAAAACAAAGTAGGACAAGAATATCGTAAAGTATTTCAAAATATAAATGAATATACTAAACAGAGAAGAAGAAGAATATTAAGTAAATTTAGTGGAAACGAAAAAGGGAAAAAAGAGCAGAGGATGCGATCAAAAAAGAAGTAATCTATTTTGAACACGAGATAAGGCGGAAGTTTAAAACTGCGCGGCCATATTGTTGGGTGGCAAGAAAAATGGCGGCGCTAGAGTTCATCTACTCAGTCGATATCGCTCCTTAAACGATAGCAGGATCGGCTCTGCAAAATATCGATTTCAGCGATGTCGATACCACTCTTCCGATCTAATGTGACGATACAAACTTCCTCAAAAGATACCCGTTCTTATTAATGAATAGCACTATTTTTGCACTTAGCTACCATTAGATACGAAAATCCGCTTCTCGCAAAAACACACACCAACATGCACATTAGAATATGGTTCAAGAGTTAGTGATGATTCTGTTACCTCTGAATGTTATATCATGTTACTATGCCATTGTTAAATTAACCTTGGTATGAAGCAGCTTGGGGATATTGTTGGGGGTAAAAATTTAGATGTTTTTAAAGACATGCCTCATTCAAAATGTATTGACATTCATTTGATATATGAAAACCGTTTAGTAGAGTAATTACTCGCTATGGACAATTTCAGTCATCTTACAGGTATTTCCGTCCTCACTGGAGTTCACTGGAACAAACTAATTTTGAAGTCCTCGGAATGGTCTACTTTAACAAAACCTTCAATGACCAGTTCTATAAACCGGATGGGATGTACCTTTGATTAAATATTCCATGTACTTAAGACGTACATATCACTGAATGTTGGCCTAAACGTTTGTAACACAAGCCATGAGTGGCCGAAGGGCAAACGTAGTGATACAAATGAAGAAGAAAACAAATTGGAGGTAACATACCTGTAACATGATTGACCGGATTGACTGCGGACGTAGTATGCTGGGCAGTCTTGACCCGTAGCAAAGGCTATAAGACTAGCCACAATAAACAAAACTCCCTTCATGGCTGCTTCTCAAATGTGTTGCGATCTCACTAGACTTTTTTCTTTCTTAATTTTTCGAACTCCAGAAGAAATGAGATCGATGCATTCACGACTACCACCAAACTCGAATGAAAGCCTTAGCCGAACCTCAAAACCCTCGCGCAACAGGCGTAACCCTGTGCCGAGTGCAAGACTTCGGTGGAGGCGTGACTAACGAATCTACGTGCACGCCCCATGCGCGTGGGGTGTGCGCAGAAGCCGAAAAGCGGGGCGTTACTTTTGGACCAATCAGAGGAGATGGTAGGATTGACGCACATCCAGACCTAGCCGGGGTTCCGAAAGGGAAACTTGAGTCAGGGGCTTTGGGATGAGCGCATAATTACCCATAATGAGCGTGACTTCCTGGTTGGGAATGAGTGTGTGTGTGTGGGCTAAATGTGGGTGAACGTGTGTATAGGGAGTACACGCAAGATCGTGTGCGCGGGACGGTGTTGGGGGAGCGAAGGGGCCTCCAAAGCAACGTTCCTTATGCGTGTCAAGATATGCCTAGTTATTTTCCACGGCAGATCTCGAGGTTACGGCTCAGCCTCAAACCTGAGCTAGTACTTTAAGTCCCCATGTGTAATATGTGTCACCCTTGTACAAGATTTTGCAAATGAAATGAAAAGATAAGAATATAATATCTCGCCGAATTAAATCAAAGGTCACAAAATCTTTGAAATAAAATGAATGCGAATGTATTTGCGTTGGGGCCTAATATTATGAGAAGATCAAATGTGATTCCACGTTGATTTTTTTCTCTTCATAGAGTTCAAGTCATGATTCACTTCAGATCAATATAAGTAAAGAATAGATACGTAAACTTTTGCATACATTATCTTTTCTTTTAGTTTAATTTTCTAACAGAAAGGACCAAGGAGACCCCTCGTCAACCAACTCTCATCCTTTTCACCATCTATTATACCAACTATCGCAAAACTGTATAATCTTGAACTATCACCATGCTGAAAACCTCTTAAAACTTCTTATTTGGAAGCTCTATCACTATATTGAAACTTAAAAAGAAAAGTGAAGAGGGTTATGAATACTTGAGATATCATAGGATGTATGAAGGTCTAAAACCGTATAACCGAACATTATTAATATGTTTAATGAAAATTAAAGTGTCATATTACGATTTCCCAGCAATATACAACTACCTCAAGGAACGAAAAATTCTGATAATAATCGCAATCGGTTATCAATCTATCCTTTAAAAGGGTTGTTTGCCTATAAACTTTTCAGGCATTTATTTTCAATTGTATACACATGTATAAGCTGCTTATACTTCTGCTACTACTACTTTTACTAATAATGATGGTATTGATAACAATCATATTAATAATCCTAAAATAATAATCAAAACAGCTCTAGCACATCGTTTATATGTATGGACTAACAACTGGATTGTTATTAAATTTATGGAAATAAAAAATTGAATCGTCTCCACCAAAATATAGAGAATAACCGATTTATAATAGACCAGAGAGCTCAAATCTATAATCTAACTGTTAAGCCCTTTAATTGAGTACAAATGATATTTTAGTCAATAGGCCTAATTGACTTTTCCCAAGGGTTATCATACATTATTCAAAATATATGTTTCGATGTTCTTATTAGACGCATTTGATAAGTTATATTTGGTATATCATTGTAAAAAGAAAGTTAAATACCGAACACAATACAGAAAGTGGATAGCGATTTTTTCGGGCCCCACCGTGTACTGAAGCGTTGCCAACGATACTTGATATACAATATGAAGTATACCTTAATTAGTATTAAACAATAAACTAATCATTTAATACTCTTAATTAGCAATGATTAGTAGGCTATGCCACTGGAACAATACATCGTGCTATTACTCTTGTAGGGCACCCCGATCAAAGGTATTGAATAATAATAGAAAACCTTTAGATGAAGATGATGATAATAATGATAATTATCGTAATAGTCATAATGTTAATAATAATAATAATAATAATAAAACTAATACTACTAATAATTATACATACAACAACAATAATGATCATTTTAACTCCTCCTCCTCCTCCTACTACTACTATTATTGCTAATACCACTACTACTACAACTACTACTTATACTACTACTACTGCTACTACTTCCACTACTACTACTATTACTACTACTACTACTACTACTACTACTACTACTACTACTACTACTGCTACTACTACTCCTACTAATATTACTACTTTTACTACTACTACTACTACTACTACTGCTACTACTTCTACTACTACTGCTATTACTACTACTACTACTACTACTACTACTACTACTACTACTGTTACTACTTCTACTACTACTACTACTACTACTACTACTACTGCTGCTACTACTACTACTACTACTACTATTGATAATACCACTACTACTACTGCTACTACTACTACTACTACTACTGCTACTACTTCTACTACTACTACTATTACTACTACTACTACTACTACTACTACTACTACTACTACTACTATTACTTCTACTACTACTATTATTACTACTACTTCTACTACTACTACTTCTACTACTAACTACTTCTAACAACAATAACAAAAGCAACCACAACATAAAAATAAAAACAAAAAGATGGTGGGCTGTATGTCTCTCGACATACATGGAAATGCTATACCACAATATATTTTGGATTAATCTACTTCAAAACGAACAAAATAAACATAAAGGATAGAAAAGAAAGAAAAAGAAAGGAAGGAATATTTGGTAAGGAAAGTTTACAGTAAGAGGTTTTCAATTTCAGGGCAAGAAAACGGTTACATCAAAAATAAGGAAAGAGCGCCCACTGTGTTGCGGCTTGAATTCGTTCGTGTCATTTTTTAAAGATCATTGGTTTAAAGGAATATTCCTACATGTTTAATGATCTTGGATTTTAAAGAGAAAGTTTGGTTCTGGTAATGATGTGAAATGAATTGTAAACTTTCTAATTTGTGTTATTGTTAGTTAAGTATATGACCGTTACTCAGGAAAGTGCCCCTGTAAATGGGCTGTTCTGAAATGCTCCTAAAAATCAATAGTGTTCGCGATATGACATCAGTTGTCATGTTCTACATAATAAACCTTTTCCAGTACAATCCAATTATTTCTGGACAGTTTCTTTAAAAATGTAATTATGTGACAAATACTGAACTTTATCTTGACATTTCTTTTTAACGAAATGAGACAATGTAGAGGGTAAGATGATCATTGACATGGTTTCGTGAAACGGAGTCTAATGCGACTTCAGGTCAGTTTTCTATACCATCCTATCACGTTTATCTGTTACACCCAGCCACCCTTCCTTAATGTATACCATTACGTGAACATTTTGTAAGCGACATGATATGTCCAGTATTTGAGAGGATCGGTGGAAAATGATACAAACCTGTACGTGCATGACGTGTATATCATTGTGAATTAACTCTTTACAGGTTTTCAAGCATGAAACGGAGTATTAACCTGTTGCCTACTGAATTGTTTAATTCCCATAGGCATAACACAGGGACCACCAGGTTCCAGAAGGCGATGGGTTAACACTTCACAAACTAGAAAGTTATCAACTTGGGAAAGAAAGGAGAAGACTGGTGAATATATAATTTCCATTTTTACTATATTTCAAATAAAGATTGACAGATCGTATTGGGCAAAACCCATGGAAATAAATGTTACATATTTTTCAGACTAGTGAGGGTCAGCAGTAAAACGACTTTATTATTGTTATTTATGAAGATAAAATAGTTAGTTCAGGCATACTTAATTCATAGGCAGATCATCAACTGCAAGAACGAAGGGAAGGCCGAAAAGGTCGTTGCCTCAAGAAAGTGATTACTCACAGATAAGTAAGATATTTTTTTTTGCTGTCTTCAGATTTATACCAAAAAAAATTCACCATTCTTACGATAATTTTTACCAAGATGGTGGTGAGAAATATCATATTACATTTTGAAAGATAAATACGAAAGGTAAGGTAGTGTTAAAATGTTGGAAATTATCATTATTCCTTTACTCATTTAAATGAAACATAACATGATAATAGGAAGTAGGAAAATATCTTAATGAATGTAATGGAGTAGTCCCATGTGTCTGTCATGTATAGGGCTAGTATTTTTAAAAACATACATATTAATCTTCCTTGTCTGCTTGCGAGAACATAAAAAGGGACATACCTAAATATGGCCGAGTTTTCTTTCTTTCTTTTCTCTTGAATCTTAATGCAAGACCCAAGTTTCAGATATATATTGAGAAATATTGCTCATCGTTTGGAGATATTTCGTACAAGAAAGGAAATGAGAAATCAGTGCGTCAATTTTCCTGAACTCCATTCATTTAGGGCTATTCCTTTCGACCTACTTTTGTTCCCCTTAAACGACATCGCTCTTGGTTAATTTTAAAAGTGATTTATCTCTAAAAAAAATAATATTCATATTAACCCACTGTTTTCCGTGACCTGTATAAATTATGAAACGGGGAGACAATACAGTAATCAACCGGTTAACTATTATGAGCTCTGAGAGAGATAACCCCAACCTAATAATTTTGAATGTCATACAGCACTGTTGAATTTCAAATTTTCAGAAGAAACTGAAAGGAAATCCCACCCAACTGAAATACTGTCTGATTTGTTTTAGGAATTCTAAGAATTTTGAATAGTTAAAGATTTAAAAAAAGAGTTTTAAAGAAGTTTGAAATCATTATCTATATTAGGAAATATTAACGGGTATAAAATGGCAGGTATAAGATCAAATGGCAGTTATCTTTTTTCATATGATCAAAATTCCTTTTCCTTTTAACATGCCTTGTCTAAGTATCTCCTTATATATACTCTTTTACAGCCGAATGTAATTACGGGTTCCATCCCAAAATCTTAATTGCATTTAACAAGTCAAGTTTAAACTCATACATTTCGTTAAGCAGAACATTTGATATATTTTTAGATTTTTCGTCTTCACGTTCCTTGTATCTTCGATAAGGTTAAGAATACTTCTAGAAATCTTTATAATAAAAACATCATCTACATTCAGTATAAATGGTGGAGAAATTCATTAACTTAAAATTACAGAAAATTTATAATCAGCTAAA